TGATCTTGCTTGGGGAAAAGTTTTCTTTCTTTAAAAAGAGTTTGTTTGTGTGGCAGGATGGCGTTAAAACTAATAAAGCCTGACAAACAAGCAGCGGGGGGGGGGTGTTCCCCCATTTACAATTATGTGAACAAGTTCTGAGCTTACAGACTCAGCAGAATGGCTTTAATTTAAAAGAATTTGTCCTGGAGGAAATGGCAAGATATCACGAGACTGTGAACCAGAATCTTGAAAAATTTAGGCAGGAAATTAAAGAAATGATACAACTAAAGTATGATAATCTGCAACGAAAGATTGTAACAGTGACTAATGCTTTTTCAGAAATTGTTATAAAGATGGATACAAATATCAAGTTATTAGAGTCTAAAATGGAGGAAGTTGATGATAAGATTTATAATTTGGACAATAAAATACAAAGAATTGAAAATGACTTGATAAATATTCAAGACAATAGTTTAGAAGTAAAGTCTAAAAAGGAAGCTGGTCACGAGACTTACAATGCAGAAGATATAAAGCAAGGGATTGAAAAAGAAGTTACAATGATGCAATACAGGCTCACGGAATTTGCGGTTAGAATGAGAGGGTTACAGGAAAATAATAGAGATGATTTAAGAAAAATATCTGCTCAAGTTCTGGCCGGGATTTTAAAGGTTCATCCTGAGGAGGTATCTTGTAAGATTGACAAGGCCTATAGAGTAAATTCTTGGATTGCAAAGCAAAGGCAATTGCCTAGAGATGTGGTGATTTACTTCACAGATAAAGAAATAAGAAATGATATTGTGCAAAAATCCTTTAATTCTACTCTACAATTGTATGGAAGAAAGATCTGGATATATAAAGAGTTGCCGCCTAAGATGCTAAAAGATAGAAAGAAATTTGGATTTTTGGTGACTGAGCTAAAGAAACAAAACATCTCATTCAGGTGGGACGTTCCAGTTGGTATAATATTGAGATATCAAGGAGAAAGATATCAGCTAAATACTGTTGAAAAAGCGGAAGAATTTTACTACAAGGTTCTCAAAAAGCAAAATCAACAAGAGATAGAAATTCAAGATAAGCAGAAGGAGGTGGAAGTAATGGAAAAACAACAAGTTACAGAGGTCTTTGTAGATGAGCCGCTTCTGGATTCTCCTTCAGAGGTCTCAGCTGGACTATTTATAAATACAAGAGAGGCGGCTCTGGATTCTAATATGATGACTTATCAAGTTACAGACCAGCATGGAAATCAATCAGTTGATATACAACTTATAGAACCAGAATGGAGATTTAAGCCACAAAAGCAAAACCAACAAGATCAAGTTATAGATCAGCATGAAAACCAAACAGTTGATATACAATTTATAGAAAGGAAATCAGGATGGAGATCTAACCCACAAAAAGTCAAGAAAAGAAGAAGCAGGTCTCACAAAAACAAAAACTTTTAAACTAAACAACAGCGTAATGCCAGTTATTTAAGAGATGATTGAATATATGAAAAGATAGTTGAGGCAAAGTATTGGTTTATATTATCCTGAGGAGAGTGACAGACCTCTGCAGTGCTGTACTTTTGGGATGTGAAAAGAGCCTTAAACTGAATGGATTGGAACTATCTTTTTTTTGGATTCTTTGATAAATGTACTACGTTTATGCTGAGCTACAAGGCGAGAGAGATATGGAATTGGGGCACGCAGATGATCTGGCTGTTACCCTATTACGGTGGTTGGAATTAATAATTTGGATGAAAGACACCACTATAGACACCATATGGAATATAAATATAAAGTCACTCGGGTGGTTGTTTTTTTTTTTTTTAGAAGATATTTGTTATTGATGGGGGCAGATGGTAATTGAAGATACCGAACATACTGTTGGAATTAGGATGTGATGTTACCCTAACATGGGTGATGGAGTTAATAATCCAGCTGAAAGACATTACAGAAGATATCATATGGATTACAAGCTTAAAGTCTTTTTTAAGAGGATTTTATTTACATAAGGGAATATTTTTAGTGGTGTGGGCAGAAGAATAAAGATATTAAGAATTATTAAGTATGGTAGTCTTGTAGGAAAGTGGGTGGAGACAGGTTAGCTTATTGATTGTTTAGTTTAAGAAAAGGGATATTATGTTTAGATATGAATATATGTAAAAGATTTGAGTTAAGAGATATATCGATGGGGTGGAGGAAATGGGTAGACTATGAATTGAATAAATGTTAAATTAGGATTTATTATATAGTCTTATAGTGGAAGGTTGCTTTGAAATGTTACAATAATATACATAAAAGATTTGATTTAAGAGATATATGTATGGGGGGCAGAAAAAGGGTAGATTATGAGCAGAAATTGCTAAACTGGGAGATATAATAATATTATTATGCTAAATTAGGAGTTATTATATAATGTTATAGTAGAATGTTATTTTGAAATGTATAGTATAAGGGGGATATAATAATATTATTAGAAAGAAAGGGTCAGCATATGGGGGATGGAGTAAGGGGGTGGTAAAGTATTATATAATCTGTTATGAATTTGGGTTTTATTTTGAAGAAGCCATAGGGGGAGGGGAGGGGGAGGGGGGGTTAGGGAGGAGGGGGGGAAAGGGGGAAAAATTTGTATTTGAAAAACTTTTTCAATTAAAAAAAAGGAAAAAGAAACTGACAGAAATAGCAAAACTGACTTGTTTCATCAGGGATGAAACTTTAATAAGTACTTCTAGAAACCTTTTATGGACTTTTTGTTGAAAATGGAAAAAAATAAAGTGATGATTTATGATTCTGCTAACTGAAAAAGGACTAATTAATTCTTTTAATACCAAGCAGGAGCAGGCATAATGAGTTTGTTTATAATTTTTGAAAATAGGGTTGAAAGTTCTGTATATTTTCTTGTTTCTTTATTATTCTACTTTGCTTTTTACATTTTCTTTTTCTTATTTCTATTCCTCTTACTTCATTTTTTTTTCTTTCCTGCTACTTACTTACCTAAAAACCAATAAAAATTATACACATAGGTTTGTGTGTATTTAGCAAATGGGATGAAGAAAAGCTATCTGATCTGCTGGCTAAAAGTGTGTTCTTCTGAAACTGGATTCTTGCCACATAGGTACATTGTACAAAACTGAAGACTTATTTCTTCCTCTTCTTTCTGTATAATTTGACTTCTGCTCTATATTCCTTCCTGTTTGGTGGATGTCCAATGTTTAATTAAAGTTCAAGATTTTAATGTAGGAGGCAGTGTCTTCTGGAAATGTATGATGATAACAGATAACCGGTATTGGCAGTGATCATAATGAGGAAACATAACAGATGCTGAGACTTCAAAAGGAAACATATTAAAATTTAATCCTGACTCAAAAGTAAATTATAACAAGTAGACAGAAGGCACAAAATGTTGGAAACTGTTTTACTTTTAAAACAATTGTAGATAGGAAGATAAGAATGCAGGGACTTGGTATTTAAATCTGACATGCTAAAAAGATTTAAAATTATAGTTTAAGAAATGTGAGATGAGTCAGCTGAGCATCACATGATGTAGCTATCCAGACAGGCTATCAAAATGAAAGATTAACTCACTATAAATAGTTCCATGAAAGAGGAATATAGAATAACAGGTATTTAAAAGCCTGAAAAGCGGAAGGAGGAAACTACGTTGAAGCAGTTGAGGCTTCCCATATTTTCGGTAAATAACTTAGATAACAGCCACTTTTGTACATAAGGCAGATCACATTTGGTGAAAGTGAAAGACTGAGGAAGAGTAGGACAATTCAGGTTAGTTTGTCATTTACCTGTGATGGAATGGAAGGATTAAATTTTTCATACTGGGCTTCCATATAAATCCAGTTCTAATATATTTCCTCAGGGATCTAGTGTGCAAAAAAAGTGGCACCACAATAGCCACTCCAAAATGGAAAATAAAGATATTATACACACACACACACACACACACACACACACACATACACACACACACACAAAATATATGTATTTGAATCCGAGAAAGGTTATGGCTAGCTGATGAGAGCTAAATAGCTTGAAATAGATCTATACTAGTCTCCCTTTATTTCTTTATCAGCAAATATATATTTGGTATAAAATGGTTTGTCATGAATGTGACTGCTTGAGGGCTCCTGGATTGGAGCTGAAAGGCAAAAGGGAAGCGGTATTTGCCCTCCCATATTGGGGTAGACCAGGTGCTTCGACAGAAAAACACGATAGATAGATGATAGATAGATGATAGATAGATAGATGGATAGATAGATAGATAGATAGATAGATAGATAATGTGTATGTGTATGTGTATGTGTATGTGTATGTGTATGTGTATGTGTATGTGTATATGTATATGTATATGTATATGTATATGTATATGTATATGTATATGTATATGTATCAGGGGTGGGGTTTGCTTACCTTTGCTACTGCTTCGCTCACTTCTGTGCATGTGCAGATCATATTTGATGATGTCCGGGGTGGTGGGGGGAGGCATTAAGTTAAAGTCAATTAACTATAAAGAAGTTAAGAGTACCAACCAGTTTAATTGATTTTTATTTCTTTTCTTTTTCTTTTAAAAAATTGTAATAATTAAAAAAGTGCTTTCAGCAATGCCACCCTGGAACATAAATTAAATCAACTGCATACTTTTAGTTATTACAGAATTTGTACCTGATTTCCACCTATGAAGACCATCAGACATCACTTAGTTCTCCTTTTGTTGGTGATTTTTCTGCTTGATTCAAGTAAGATGTTCATGTGACATTGAGTGGTTTGAAGTATTGAAAGACTATATAATTTTATTTGCAAGTATTAGAATTAAGGGACACGTAAACCAGATTAAAAATGGAATTGGTGAATGGATATTCACATTAAACAAAGACCAAGAAGGACAGCTGTCACATGCAGAGGCAATATCATTTGTGGTAAAATAACTAATATTACAACCAATTTGTAAGTCTCTTGGATATTCTACATAGACATGGTTAAAAAAAAAAATACTGGACCAGTTTACTCTTTAAAGAAGCCTGAATGGATTCTTTATATGAGACAATTGTTTTAATTCTTATTGGAATTTAACATCTTTTCTACAGGTTTCTCTGATCCTATTCGGACGTCTGCTGCATGTTTTAAGGCTGGTGGGGAATGCTTTGGTATCTTATGCCTTTGGCCTTTTCAAAATAATGTTGGAAAATGTGGTAGTGCATTTTCAAGGTGTTGTTTGTTTTGATAGTGCATTATCCGGGCAGGGTTCTCAGTGGATCTAAAAGTATGGATCTATTTTAAATTATGTCTTCTGGGTACATGTATGAAAGCTATTTGCATCAAGATTGTCTGTGAATATTCTCATGGATCTTCATATTTGTAGGTGTTCATCTCTCTCCTTCCTGTAAAAAAAAGAATTACTCTGCTAACATGATTTCTAGGATTAGGCACAAGTGCATTAGAGCTAAAATGTCAATAACTGAATATCTCTCCTCCTACATGATGGTGATTTTGTGCTTGAATAGTCTCCTACTAGAATAATTTGATGGATAATTAAATTAAGTATCACTATCTTCCAGCCAAAATGCTGAAGTAGCAATTCAGTGTCATGCGATATTGGATACCATCAAGCATATCAAAGCAGGAATTGCTATGATTCTTACAGCAATTAATCACCTACTATCACCTAATATCTGATAGGAAATTGGCAGTTCTCAGTACTAGATAGGTGAACTGCCATTGATTGATATCATAATTTCATTCTAGTTACCCACAACCATTTTGAACGTTGATTTCTGTTGCAATTTTGTGACTTAATGCTAAATTGGGACACTGCATTTAACACTAAACCTTTATATTCAGAACTGTAGTGGTTATATTACTATCTTTGATTTTTGGTAAGAAATGAAATAAAAAAAATCAGCTCTTGTGAAAAGTATAAACAACTTTCCTCTGACAAACACAATAAAGCTAGATAGCTGTGTTCACATAAAATGCTGACTGATAAAATGACTAGCCTATGACAATGCAGGTGACTGCTTTCTTTATGGTTTCAATATATCATGTCAATGCAGAAGGTTGGATTTATTGGAGGAAACCATGGTTCACTAGGGTACATGTCACTGAATCTAACTTTTACTTAAAGTACCTATGGCCTTCAACCAACTCATCAGAGATTAAAATCCAGGAAAAGCTTCCTTAGGTCAATGGAAGACTTTGAAGACTTTGAAAACAGAGTTGGCCTAGGGAAAGCTACAAAGAACTAACACCCAATGAAACCAGTGGAGGAGCTGGCACCTGGGTCTAGCGAAAGCTGGGAAGAATGGAAATCAATGAATAGGCTGTGCAAAGATACAACAAGATCTAGAGACACTCTGAACATGAGACTATCCAGGGGCTTCTGCCCTTTGTGAATGTGGTGACATGCAGAAACAGCAAATAGGTATACCTGCAATTAATGTTCCTAGTTTCTGGGCAAGATATGTTTAACCTGTACATATTTTAATCTTGCAGTTTATATTTTAAATTTTATGTCATACAGTGTGCCTTATTTTAATTGTGATGCTTCCAACACAATAAACAAACTTCAAGCAACCCACTGATGCACACATCTTCTATTTCCCTTGTGTTCCACTTAGTTCAGAGATTAGATAGTTGCAGCTGAAGCATAGCATTGCCTCAGTCAATAGCATGTGGTGGGAAATTATTGGAGGATAACTCACAAACCTTCAACAATGATACGATAGTTCAGGACCTTATCCCAAAGGTGCTTTTTCAAGAGGCAACTGGACTTTCTGATTTTTCTTTGAAGACATTTCACTTCTCATCCAAGAAGCTTCTTGGATGAGAAACAAAACATCTTCAAAGAAAAACCAGAAAGTCCAGTTGCCTCTTGAAAAAGCATCTTTGGGACAACCATGATCTGGATGACTGAGAATCTCCATAGACATTCAGGACCTTGTGTAATAATGAAATGCTCACAAGACACACAGAACACAGAGAATTGTTGTTAATCTACAAAAATAATTGCCATAAACTAAATAAATACAAAAATCATTATGAATAACAATAACTAAAGCATTACACATACACACCAGTATTTATTTTATTTGGTTTGGTGATCTCCACCTATAAAGCCACTCTTAGTGATTCACAATACAACAAACAGAATAAAAATAATATAACAAGTTAAGTTTACTTTATTATCATTGCACTTCGTACAATGAAATTAAATGCCATCTTCAGTGTACATTATAACTATAAAAATAAAACACAAACACATATCATTCACATTTTATACAATTGCATTGAAAACCTGATATTGCATTAGTACTGCACTATACAGTAGAATTCAATATAGTTACTGCCCTGGAATAGAAGCTGTTTTTCAGCCTATTGGTGCTTGTTTTTATTATCCTGTACCATTTGCTAGATGGTAAAAGTTCAAAAAAAGGGTGCCAGGATGAGATGGATCCTTAAGAATGTTTTGAACTTTCTTAAAGCAGTGGGAGCTATAAAGAGGAGGGGGCACCAATGATTTTCTGGGCAATGAGGTTAACCCTCTGGAGTGCTGTCCTATCTGCTACTGTGCAATTGGCAAACCATACACAAGTGCAATAAGTTAAAATACTCTCTATGGTGCAGCGGTAGAAGGTCACCAGCAGTTTTTCATTTAGTTGTTGTTTCCTGAGAAATCTCAGGTAGTATAATCGCTGCTGGGTCTTTTTGACTAGTGCTGCAATGTGAGCGCCCCAGGTCAGGTCCTCTTTTATGACAACACCCAGAAATTTAAAACTGGCCACTTGCTCCACTCGATCTTAATTGATAAGCAAGGGCTGGATTTCTGATCTATTCCTTCTATAGCCCACTATAAGCTCCTTGGTCTTATTGGTGTTAAAAACCAAGTTATTGTCTCCACACCATGAAAGCAACCAGCCCACCTCATCTTGATAGGCAGACTCATCCCCCCTCCCCCAGAGTTGAGTCCCACCACTGTTGTAACATCTGCAAATTTAGTAATAGTATTACTAACGTGAGTGGGAATGCAGTCATGCACATTAAGAGTATAAAGTAAGGGACTCAATACACAACCCTGTGGTGTAACAGTGTTAAGAATAATGGCTGAAGAGACATGATTACCTAATCTGACCCTCTGAGAGCGGCCAGACAGGAAATCCATAATCATAACAAGAACAAAACTGGGCAACAGAACCATATTTGAAAAGAAAGAAGGAATTAAAAAATCATAGTAAATCTGTCAGACCAACTCAGAACACATACTAACAATTCAGCAAGGGTCATCTCATCTTAATCCAAGGCATGTCCATAACATATCCATGTCTGTACCATGGCATGTCCATAACTCCTCACACCATTGCATTCTGGACTTCTTGAACCTTTTGAGTGGTCTTTGAGGGTAGCTTCATAAAGAATGCATTGCAGTAATCTAATTGTGAGATCATAGAGCATACATAACTGTCTGAAGGGCCTCCTTATCCAGGAATGAAGCTGTGCAAAGACTTTCTTGGCCACAGATGTCACTTGTTCATCAAGCAAGAGCTCTGAATCCAGAAAGACCTCCAGATTGTGCACACATACACACCATGTATAGGTAGGGCAAGCCCACTTAAAGTTAAGGATGGAAAATTCTTGGGACAATTTGGCCTTAATACCTAGCCACTTAGTAGGATTGAATTGGACACCCTTCCTCCCTATCTAGGCTTATCCAACCCCCAGGTTGGATAAGCCTAGATAGGTAAAATCTTGACAGCCTTGCTTGTTAGCATGGGGCTGAAAGATATAATTGGATATCATCAGCATGCTGATGCTGAACTGCAAATTAGTGGATCATCTCATCCAGTAGTTTCATGTATATGTTGAGTAAGAAGGAAGAAAGAGTTGAGTCCAAGGCAACCCTCAAACAACACTAAATTGAACCAATCCCAATGGAAGGACAAAAGAAAAATTAATTCCCAATCTCCAGAGGTAGTGTACCCCCCCAAAAAAAATACCAATATCAAAAACTACTGAGAGATCAATGAGTACAATGATATCACCTCCATCCCTGTTTCACTACAGACTATCAAAAAGTTCAACCAAAATTGTCTCCTTAATAAATCCTGGCCTGAAATTGAAACAGGATTAAACATCCACCTTTTCTAGGGCTCCCTGATATGACTATCATTGTTGGACTTTCCACAATTTAAACTTCTAAATGAAAATGATCCTTGGCTCCATTGGTTGAGAAAGGTATAGTTTATAAGTGAACAAGTGCATGGAGAACTGAGAATCGCACACCAAAATAAGTCCCTCATTGCCCAGTATAACCAATCAAGTCCATGCAATGTTTTCATAATAGTCAGTCCAAATGCAGTTTGGTATGTAGCTCCCTCATTCTTCCAAATGGATGGCCTTGGGGTAGAGTCTTGATACAGCCTCTACTTTAAATTTCTCCCTTCATCCCTCCTCCCCGCCCCCCACACACAGAGTTCATGGCAGTCTGCCATGGCATAACAGTGAAGCACAGCAAGCATAAGATGGCAGATGACAATCATCTGCATACCCTCTAAAAAGAATAAGTAGCAGATGAGGCACTAATTATCTAAAACCATTGGGTCCAAGGACAGCTGTGGATGAGATTAGGGAAGAGGTATATCATTGCCTTTTTGAATGATGAAGGCACCATCCCTTTCCTCAAAATGGAACCAACCACAGGTCACCTCCTTGGATGCTTTCTCTTCCGTGACTGAATCTAGAGGGGCACAAGTTCAGCATACAGTGCAAAGACCAATGTCCAAGACATCTGAAGTCACTTGTTCAAACTTATCACAGATCTCCCCACAAAGATACATATGGCAGGGGTCAGCAACCTGCAGCTCTGGAGCCGCATGTGGCTCTTTGCTGTGGCTTCTGTCACTCAAATTTTGCGTCACAGCCGCCAATGTGCAACATCAGCCGGCATGCAATTTATTGAGCTTTTCAACCCCCGGTAGCCCTCTGCTGCAATTCCCTGTCACTCAAAATATTCATCACAACCGCCAAAGTGCAACATTCACCATCACACGATTTATTGAGCTTTTCAACCCCCAGTAAGCCAACCATGGATAAATCCAATCCAGAAGAAAACAGAACTTTTAATTCAACTACATATGCTAGTTTTGTGACTGCTCAAGAAATAGTCAGGCACGGAAAGGGTTTTGTGGCTCCCGGTGTTTTCTTTTCTGTGGGAAAGGGGTCCAAATGGTTCTTTGAGTGTTTAAGGTTGCAGATCCCTGACACATGGGAATAGGATTTTGATAGCCTGCCTTCCTTGTTAGCCTGAGTTTACATACATACAAAGTTGTTCCTTTGCCCACTGATGCATGGTAATATGAAAAGACAGGTATGCTCAGCAGGTGTTGATGGCAATGTGTTCAAGTAGATATTTGCCAACAAGATCTTATATAGCTTTGCTTTTAGTTTTTTACCAGTTGCATTCCATCATATATCACCTTGTCTGTCCCTTCATTGACCATTACATTTATTATTAGGTCAATCATGACACGATATGTTTAATTAACTGAACAAGGGCAATCTATTATTGCTTTTACCAGTGTGTATATGACGGCATTCTCATCAGTCTGTGAAGTAAAAATGTACACTCACAAAGCTTAATGCCTTGAAAGCCTGAGTCTTTAAAATGAATGCACTAATTTAACTAGCTACATTTTTTTAAATAATTCTATTGAAATAATAGATATTTAATGTATATCCTAGATGGAAATGAAAGGAAACAATAAGTAAAGGTTAAAATATGAATATGTGATCATTTTTTTTAATTTTCTAATCATTTTTACAGAGCCCTCTAACCCCCCACCTACTAGAAAATGTTCTAGAAGGGAATTTGAAGAATGGGATTAAATGCTGACAAGTCTTTCAAATCTGTAGAATCAAGAAACAATTTTAGTTCCCTTTAATCTTTTCAAAGCAATTTTGGTAATTAAGAAACCTGAAGTATCTCAGGTCAGCATCATGTTCTCTTCCTCTCATATAAGGAGTTATCTTGCCAGAGTACAGAATAACTCAGATCAGTGTGATATAATAAGTCAATTATTCATTAGTTTAAAACACTGAATGAATGTTTAAGGAAATCTAAACTGAAGTAGCATAAATATTCCATCTCTTTGGTAAGTATTGCAAATTCAGTCAGCAATTTATGATTTCTAACAGACTAATGTCCCAGAGGTGCTTTTTCAAAAGGCAACTGGACTTTGTATTTCCTTGAAGAGAAGAGAATTTCGCTTCTCGTCCAAGAAGCTTCTTCAGTTCTAACAGAATAATCTTTTTATAAGTATATTTTATTTCATTAAATCATTCCATAATATAAAATCAAGCATTTTTAGAGGAAAAAAGACATGACATTTGATTTCTGTTCATCTGCAAAGATGTAGTTAATATCATTTTATCAAGACAATATTCTGTGAACCATCCACAGAAATGTTAATTGTTCACCAATAACCTGGATCTGCATCCAGTTAAATGTTTAAATTCTAGAAGCTTCAACAGATATTTCTTTTTCAACTGATTTTAGTGAGTGGGCAGCATGAATTAAGGGATGTGATCTCAATTAACAGTTTTCAGACAATTTTCAAACATGAAGACCATGCGCCATCTTGTAAGATTCTTCTTCGTGCTGATGTTGGTTCAGCCAGGTAAGAAATGAATGAATGTATTTGGAATCTGTGGGTTTATGAAAATAAACTTTGGAACTATGAGCAAAGGTCTATGATAAAGGACAAATAGCATGCATCAAATTTCTGGGTAATATGTAATCCTAGCAAAACAAATGTGTCAAATTCATAAGAAATTTTCAATTGTCTGGAGGAATTGGGGAATGAGATCTGCTATTCACTTTTTTCCCAACAATTATTTCAGAAAGCTCAAAAGCTCAAAAGACTCAAATTTATAGACAATTAAATCTATGTATGGTGTTCTGTAACATACTGAAGGCAAGAAAAGGTAAATAAATGAAAGAGCAAGAAATGACATTGCCAGTAAAATTATATCATATATATTCAAAAAGAATATCTAAAATTTAAAAAGGTAAAATAAAGTAAAACAGAACAGAACAGAACAGTTAGAACAGAATTGAGTAGAATCTTTTAAGTTCTTCTGGATTGTGATGTACATGGAAATGTGATTACAAAATATTCTGTTAATGTAACATTCAAAACATTCAGAGCACTCAAATGTACTTCAGAACAAAAATAAAAGTATGAATAAAATCATATCACATAAAAGTATCAAGTTGAATTATGAAAGCATGTGCTGCATGGCTGGGACAAGATCAATTTTATATATCATTGAACTTTACCCTAAAAATAAATTCCAACTGAAATGCAAATATATCCTCCACTTTCTTAATGTGGCTAGTCATATTTACAGTATCTTAATGGAGAAATTAAAGGTTTTCAGGGGAAAAGCAGGAATGGATATAAGAATGGCATTTTGCAATGGTCAGTTATTGGGAGAGGAGAATTGAGATGGGATCCCCACTTGTGACATATACAGTAGCATCTTCTGCTAAAGTGCAATAATCATGCCATAATAGTAGGAATTAGGACAAGATTTGCTGTATATTAGCTTGATGGTTTGGTGATACTAACATTTACAATAAGGCATTTGTGGGGATATACAGAGACTTGGTAATCTTTATGCCAGCAGCTACAACAGAAGAAATAATGGACCTCTTCAACCATTCATTTTAAAATTGCTGTTCAGATAACTCACCATTTCAGGTTTGTACTTAAGAAATACTGTATGTAGGAATTATTCTTCAGTTGCAAAAAACCAGCCAAAATCATGCTAGCCAAAAGACAGACTTGTTACATCATCAAAATGCAAGAGGATCTCAGTCATGTAGTTACTTTTTTCCTTTTCTCCTTCACAATGACCTACATATCATATATTCTTATGGAGAACTACACTGATCTCTAGGTTATTACTATCCTATGTAGTTAGCAACATACATGCATTTGGTGACATTAAAAATTATATTGGCTTTCAGGTCAGGTGTCTTTTGCAGTTCCCCTTAGGGTACATTTTTCCTTTCCTTTTCCCTTTCCCTTCCTTCCTTTTTCATTGGAAAACTAGAAAATCTTCTATCTCTACTACAGTTCTGAAGACATTTTAAACATTCTGTGGCTTTGTTTGCCTGTTTGTTTTCCATCCAACATTACTATCCAACAATCAAATGGATGAAAAAATGAATACACCACATAAGATGGCTACAAGCTTGATTGGTTTCAAAAAAAGGAGTTACATCAATTAATGGAAGCCATGGGCTTAGACTTATCATTCTATCTGTTCTCATGCCATCATTCCTAATTCCTTTATGTT